TCCCATGTCTTTTGATTCACCATTAACAATATATATCTATGTATATATATATATATATATGTTTTAAACTTCACATTTTATTAAAAAATAATTATATTTAACATAATGTTTCACGTCTCATGACGATCCGATCAGTAGTCAAAATGCTTGAACAATATTTAGTACTGGTCTAATTTTTAAGGAAAAGTTATATAAATTCTCTAGTTCATTTCTTCTTAGTATATTCTAAAGTATTAAATTATTTTTTCTCTTATTTTGAGAGAAAAAAGGTTTGCGGAATTTTTTTTGGGCCATTAAACAAAATTTAAGATTTTCAAAAAATATTGGAAAAACGCCATACAGGAGATTTTCACAAAAAAAGGGACAATTTAGCACTTGCAAATCACACTTTTTTGACTCACCCTGTATATATAGGTGTACACAGTAATATCAAATATCTTGCTAAAGAACAGACCTCTGAATATTTTCTTCAGAGACACAAAACGAATTAAAGCATCAAAGCAAAATGGCACAATGAAAAAATTTATACAGAAAAAATGTTGATTCTAAAAATTCAATTTTGAATTTATTTTACCAAACAACTCCATCAGACCTCAAATATAAATATTTCAAATTTTCAATTTTCTTTTCAATCTCAGAAATTCCAGAGAAAATTGTAAATTTAAAATTTCAAAGAACGCGTAAATAAAGTTTAAAGTGTAAATAAAACATTTTATTTTCAAGATTAAAATGTTTTTCGCTTTTTAAAGAATTTTCGATTTGAAAGAAAAGCCAAATCTAAAAATAATTTTTGGATGGAAAAATGGAAAAGATAGATAGATAGATAGATAGATAGATAGATAGATAGATAGATAGATAGATAGATAGATAGATATATAGATAGATAATATCTCTATCCCGCTGTGAAACTATTTAGTATATATTGGTAGAACAGATGGAAAAGTATGGTTTGGCCCAGGAGCCGAACGTTAAATGCATATAGATACAGGGTGTCCCACAAAACATGATGAAAGTCGTCTTTGATTTTTGAATTTATTTTGGTCAACCGTCTTTCACATGTATGACAACATTAACCACAAAATTATCCCAGTTCAAAATTGTCGAAATCTGAACAAAATTAATCTTGTCTGTGTTTTATATTGATCGAGAGCACAAAAAGGCAGACCAAATTTTGAAATGCCTAGACCAGGGGTATTTTCTGAGTATTAACTATACAGAATTTTACCTAAAATTTGCTACTGTCATGTATCGTGGGACAACCTTCACAAGGGAACTAAGGAAAGTATCAAATCTACAGAATTCGTTTAAAGGGACTGTTTTTAACTTCGGGTTTCATAACATTTCCTTAACAATGGGGCTCATAAATTGAATGATTATTTAATCTTTTTATGCCATTTACAAATTAAATTAAGTAGAAGTAACTACCCAGAAATTTCACAATCTGATTTCGTAAAATTTTAATTAAAAATAATGGCGTAAGATGTAACCATCATAAAACAAAAATAGTAGAAGTGATGTCTATAATTTGTCGGACATTTGGAGAATGAGTGCCATAAAATAGGAAAATTGTTAAGAAATAGCAGGAAAATATGTTATTATAGATTATGATACAATAATTTTCCTCAAAGAACCAATATCATTCCTACAGGGTGTCCCAGGAAACATGACAGTTGGTAAATAGTTAAGAATGTCTTCTTCCATAATGTGTTAAGTTGTTATAATACCACAGACAAAAATAGAAATATTATTTTATAGTAAATTTTTTTGTTAAGCAAAATATATCTAAGCAAAAGATTTTTAAACGAAATAAACTGCATAAAGCCTTTAATATGTAATACAGTGTATGGAAGACGACATTACAAACTATTTACCAACTGTTATGTTTCTTGGGACACCCTGTACCTCCTGCGATAAAAACCCGTACATTGACATCTCTGATATCCCCCCTTCCCCAATTCAACCTCATTTCGATCATTTGCACTTCTGATCCCCGGCCATCTTTTATTATAAATTTCAATACATGATTTTATCCTGAATTAATAAGCACTTTTTTTCTGAATAAGTATTTTATCCTGGATAAGTATTTTATCCCGGATTATCCCGGATAAGTTTTTATTCAAAATAAGTAATTTTTCCGGAATATATATATTTTATTCTGAATAAGTATTTTATTCTGAATAAGTATTATCCTATTCCTAGATAAGCTATCTTAATAATCCTCTAGTTTTATGCTATTGCATATTAATAATCAACCCCCTGCTATGTAAAGTTGGGTACCCTCCCCCCCGCTATGTTAGGACTGGGTGCCCCCTCTGCACGGATTTACAAATTGTCTTACAATCAAACCAAACAAATGATGAAGGAAAAGAGGAGGAAAAATAAAACGCGGAGAATTAAATGGACCCATGAGGCGTAATTTTGAGTAACCTGGCATAGATAGAGTGTCATACCATATTCACAACAGCACCCTGTAACTCTTTGAGCTATAAAGGATGACAGACTTGTCATTCTTCATTTACAGCTTGGAATTGTTGATCTCTTTGTCTTCAAGCTGTATTATATTTTAAAATGTACTTTCTAGAAATCCCAAAAAAATGAACTCTGTAGTTTTCTGATATTTTGAGATAAACACGGGGATTAACTTGCATCCATAATCAGACAATGTTTAATGGGTACCATTGCGAATCGGACATGAACATCTATAAAAAGTGGGTTTGTTTAAATTATGCCGACGAGTCCAAGTAAATTTTTTCATGACTAGGATTTTTTTTTCGTTAACGAGGCCGCCTTCAGCTGGTTTATTTTTCCAAATCGTTCTTCCCTTCCGTTTCTGTATTTTTGATTAAAAATTTAAATGTTTTTTTAATCATTGCATTTTTCGTGTGTGTAAGTTGCGAACATTCTTCGCAAATTTCGCTTTTTTTTGGCACAAAAATTGTCTGATGCAAGAAATCATATTCAATAAACCTGTTTTTTCAGAGGCGGCTTTTTTTGCTCACCATGTACCCCCCACCCCCCCAACTGCTATGGGGACGTCATCCTACCGAAAAAATGAAGGATCTAAATATCAATATTTTCTGTTCCTAAAAAAGCTGTTATATTGAGAAGGTGTGACTTACTAGAGTTATAGAAGTTAAAACAAACCTTTAAATGTCGTCTTGACCTTAGATGTCGTCCTGACCGTGTAAATCTTGAAAAAAGTTTTGAAGAAGCACATGCATGCTTGCTTATCATTACATGAGGACTGAAATCCTTGATAATCAAAAATTTGATTATTTAAAAAAGCAAGAGTTATTTATGAAAACCTGCAAGTTGCAACTTTTTAAATACTTTATATTTAAATCTAAAGGTTGAACGTATGAGTGACTTCATAATTAATTGTGTGTACTTTTTGAACGGAAAAATGAGGTTACAGGTTCAGCAGAGCATAATATTAGATGAATATAAGCGAGCAGTTCTCAATTTTGCTAACAGTCCCTTTAACTATATGGCATGGTTTGTTTTCCCCCAGTCAATTTCTTCGTCGTTCTCATGCTTTTTTTCTTATATCTTGATCTTGATATCGAATTTGGGCACTTTTAAATGAGACATTTCTTGATCCCTTCATATTACCGAGATTAACAACACAAAAGTTCTGGCTTCTGATTTATTGAATTTTGATATTTAAAATTATAAATTCTTCTAAGTCTAATGAAATATGAAAGGATTTGTATCTACTACAGGAATTTTGAGTTTTCGACAATGTTTAGTTCCGTAGGGAAACAATGAAATTAAAACAAATGTTGAAAACATGTAAGCCGATAAATTTCTAAACAGTCCGAGAAAACACCATCGAATTCTGTAATATACGAATTGGTGACAAAATGTTTATATTTGTTTGCAAAACTCTTTTATATTGACACAACAAAATTACAATTACAATTTACACATATCATATATTAATATAGTATATTTAATATTGATCACATATATTTATGAACGTAAAGTTACACTCAAAGGATGAGACTTCAGAGACGACTGTACAGAATCTATTGAGTCTGTTCTTACATTCATGGTTACCTTACCGGCAACTGAAAATTTGCTTTTTTCAGGTAGTCTTTAAAGTCCAATCATTTGAAGAGAAACCTGCAAAGAAACTGAGTTTTTGTAGCAAACTTAAACTTTCTTATTCCTATACCTTCCCAACCTGATGGTGTAAACCATTGACATTTCAATTATTTGATCTAACAGAATTTATAGTTTGAAATATCAAAGGTCTTCAGCATTGAAATGCAATTATATAGGAATTAGGAAATCAGAATTTACGGCAAAAACTCAGTTCCTTTAAAAGCTGCACTGTATTTCCACCAACCAAAACCGGACTTTCTCATTTGTATTTCTGACTTAAAAGGCAATATTTCTGATGTATTCTCTATAAGGAAGTTCAACGTTTGATTACATATATATGATAGAGCCCACGAATACGATATAGGCAGGAACGGTTACGTTCTAGAGGGGAAGGTACTGTCAAATGATCCCAGTAAAGCTAGACAGAAATAAATCTGACAGTTTTAATTAGAAATACTGATGACGTACAGGGTGTCCCACGAAACATGACAGTTGGTGAATAGTTTAAAATGTCTTCTTCCATAATTTGATAAATTGTTTGATATTAAAGGAATAAAAACATTTTTTATATGACAGTTATATTATAGTAAAATTGATTTCACAGTAAAATATAAATGAGTTAAACATTTTTTAAAAGAAATAAACTGCAAAACGTCTTTAAAATCTCATACAGTGAAAGAAGACATTCAAAACTATTCGTGGGACACCCTGTAGTTCGGTTTTTGTCGGTGGGAATACAGTTCGGGTTAACTTTGTTTGTAAGTAAATCTACTTTTTAAAAAAATTAAAAATTGAGCCAAATCATAGATTTTTCGAAATAATCTATCATATTATGTACTTAGTCAACTATAGATTATAAAATGCCTTTAAATAAATTTGTTCTTTTNCAATTAGATTGTTTCAAATAATTATTACAATCACTCCCCATTAAACCCCACTATTTCTTTGGTAAGTGTACTGCAAATCACTGTAGTACACACCTATAGCTTAGGTGAGGGTGTGCTTGGTGTTGTGAGGATGAAATATCTGTTTATATATATATATATATAGTCCGTGTAATATGCAGTTAAACAATTGTTTCTACAGTCTGCTGTCTTTGATAACATCGGGATTGTCAAGAGCATCCTTTCTTTCATTCACAGCTTTCATCAGTTTCTTTCTTGGACCCAGGGGCATACCCAGTACACCTTCTAGATATAATAAAGTCGTAGTCGTTTTATTAATACAATAAAGACGACTTTTGATTTCAATTTTTTATTTCTACCAAGCTTTTAAACAACACACTTATCCGCACAAACATCCTAACATAGAAAAGCTATTAGAACATCTTCTCTTGTCGTCTTCATTGTATTGATATAACCGCCGACCACTTGTTACATGGTTTGAGAATAGTACACAGTATGCTTTTATGATAAAGTACAAAGTACTTGTTCATTGTTTACATGTAGTACAAAGTATGTACAGATCTAGATATAGTATGCTGTTAGAGATACTACAAAGTACACCTTCTGGATAAAGTACATGGTCGGAGATAGTACTCAATAAATCCATATACAGGGTGTCCCAATAAACATGGGAATTCAGTGACGAATTCGATATCGTCTTTTCAAATAATTCTTTGATTTAGTATAGTGATACCTACTGAGAAAGCTGTAATCTTTAAGAGTTCCGTCTGCTATGTTCACATTTTGTTTGTTTATGTTTTGACTGCATACTGTTGTACTTAGTAAAACAAGAAAATTGTAGTATACAAACAGAGTAAACTTGTCCGTCTTCACTGTTTATCTTGCGGAGACATTATAGACACATCTTTGCAGTCTTTTACCCTTTTCATAAAATAAACTCTAGCAGACATAATAATATTATGGCTTTTGAAATTAGGTATTACAATGCTAATTCATAACAAAGACGATATCCAATTCGTCACTGAATTCCCATGTTTTTTGGGACACCCTGTATATATAGTGCATGTTGAAAGGTAGTACCCAGTACACCTTTTAACTATATTGCATGGTTAAAAGTAGTACACATTACACCTATAGATATAATACATTATAGAAAGTACACAGTTAACATTCTATAAAGTGTACATTTTTAGAGATGGTACACAGAAAACTTTCTAGATATAGTAAAAGGTTACAGGAAGTACACAGTTCCCCTTCTGGATATAGAACATATTTAGAGGTAGTACACAGTACATATTCTATATATAGTACATGTTTAAAGGTAGTACACAGTCCACCTTATAAATATAATACATAGTTACAGAAAGTACACAGTACACCTTCTAGATAAAGTACATAACTACAGAAAGTACACAGTTCACATTCTAGATAAAGTACATGGTTTAAGGTAGTACACAGTAAACCTTCTAGCTTTACTAATAATAGTAAATGGGGTTCTCTTTAGATATGATAGTACACAGTCGAAATTTCTTTTTATTCATAATTGACTAAGATGATTGATCAACATAATAAAATTATTCTAAAAATGTACGTTTGATATTTAAAAAATGATTATTTGAAACAAATTCCAATCCACACTTTCTAATTAAAAATAAGAAGTAGACGACCATCTGTATGAATTTCAGTTACTAACCAAGGTCCTGCTCTGTCAGCAGCATCAGTGAATCCAAATCTATTTTTTCTTTCAGGAATGCCGGGATCCAATCCACTAAACCTAAAGGAAAACTAAAGGAAACCAGTAATCTAACCAGATATAAGGGAATTGTTTCTTTTTTAGAAGGCAACATTTATCAATAGAAATTAGACATGAGTCATGACCAAAGAGAATAGAATATATATTAGAGTGGAATTTAACAGAAAAAAGTTTAAAACGGCCATTTTGTTGTACTGGTTCCATACTGCAGATGTACTTCACATATTTTTGCTATATAACCTTTGGGGCCCTGGAAAATCATTTTATAGAAAATCTTAAATTAATGTTAAAAGAAACCCAAATAATGAAATAGGCTGGTTTCATGATTGACCAATGATCATTTCACATAGACTATATATTCTATTCTCTATAGTCATGACGCACATTGATGACAAATATTAAGGACGCACAAAAGCCAAAAAAGTTGGGCAATGAAAAATTTAATACTTCAAGAAAAGAAAATTTGAAATTATTCGAACCTTTCTATTAAAACCGCATTAAAATGCTGACATGTTTGAAAAATTATTTTATGATCAATTTCAACACACAATATAATATTTGACCTTCAATTTTTTGATCAAAAGTGGATATTATCGAGTTTGAACTTAGATTGTCATATGATTACAATCATTTATATATATATCAATTACTAATAAAGATTGCAATCAAATCCATACTTTTCGAAGAATAATGAAAAATCCAAATTGTTCGACGTTAAAAATTGGCCTTTTATTGTAAGGGGAAAGTTTTACTTAAATGTTCACATATGTCCAAAAAATGTCAGAATAAATATAAAAAATATTTCTAAAATAATCTTTCTACTTAAAATGTCCACCTGTTGCAGCCAAAAACATTTGCAGTGAAGTATATTCTTGGTCATCTTCATCCGACATATCTGATTCCTCCCAGACCTCTGCCATCCTATATATTTACATGATTTCATGGAGTAGATAGAAATAGAGCGGGATTCCTATATATCTTATTCCTCCCAGACTTCTGCTATACTATATATATATACATGATTTCACGGAATAGATAAATATAGAGCGGGATTCCTATATATCTTATTCCTCCCAGACTTCTGCCATCCTATATATATATATACATATATATATATATACATGATTTCATGGAGTAGATAGATATAGAGCGGGATACCTACATATCTTATTCCTCCCAGACTTCTGCCATCCTATCTATATATACATAATTTCACGGAGTAAATAGATATAGAGCGGGATTCCTACATATCTTATTCTTCCCAGACTTCTGCCATACTATATTTATACATGATTTCACGGAGTAGATAGATATAGAGCGGGATTCCTACATATCTCATTCTTCCCAGACTTCTGCCATACTATATATATATATATATATACATGATTTCATGGAGTAGATAGATATAGAGCGGGATTCCGAAATATCTTATTCCTCCCAGACTTCTGCCATAATATATATATATGATTTCACGGAGTAAATAGATATAGAGCGGGATTCCGACATATCTTATTCCTCTCAGACTTCTGCCATACTATATTTATACATGATTTCACGGAGTAGGTAGATATAGAGCGGGATTCCTACATATATATTACTCCCACAGTTCTGCCATCCTATATATACATAATTTCACGGAGTAGATAATTATAGAGTGGGATTCCGACATATCTGATTCCTCCCAAACCTCTGCCAGGCTATATACACATGATAATTGATTACACAGAGTAGATAGATATAGAGCGGGATTCCTACATATACATTACTCCCACAGTTCTGCCATCCTATATACACATGATAATTGATTACACGGAGTAAATATAAATATGAATAATATTATGATTTATTTGACTAACACATGAATTATAAAGTTGGTTCAGATATTAGATTAGATATACATACATTAAGACCCATAAGACTTTGGATTACGAAGACGACAGATTTTACTAAGTGAATTGAGGAGGAACTCTTAACACTTTAGCTTTATAACAGCATCAAATACACATAAGATTGCTTGAGTATAGTCTTCTTGTTACCCAGTATTTTTAGTCTATTTGTATTATAATTGCTGAAATGGTGCTACCTGTCTGTTCGGTGAGCCAGGCTACCAGCACTACCTATACTATCTTCCTTACGATCATCCTGTGGATAATCAATTTAATCAATGAATCAATTTAATCAATAAATCAATTTAATCAATTAATCAATTTAATCAATAAATCAATGTAATCAATAGATCAATTTAATAAATGTCATCAATATAATCAATTAATAAGATATGTAAATTAGAAATCTTTATTTTACACTCGACAAACAAGTCTGTTATAGTCCAGGTACTGTAAAAAGTCTGACCGCGCCATCAAAATTGAATCGGGGCAGACATAGGATAGGGTCGAGTCTGTACATGCTGTGCGTCAGTACGGCCGGTACAAGGAATCGGTGGTGCGATTCAAATTCAAATTGCCCCATGTCCACAGTGGCATGTTTGTCTGTTTGTTTGTTTGGATGTTTGATAAAAACTCAAGAACCCTGTGATTTTCCTCCAATTTTGATTGGGTAACTCGGTACAATCACAGGAATGTTATTAGATTTGTTTAACAATTCTAAGTTGAGTGGATTGACTTGTATAGGGAAAGATAAGTTTCCAGACAAAGCTGTGTTTCCATGCTTAACTAATTTATTAATCAATTTATCAAATATATTAAATAATGAGCAAAGAAATCAATATAGTAGATAAAATGATAAATAGGCATGTAATCAATTCTTTAGATTTAGATCAATTAATCAATAACTCGGTCAATAGATTATGAGCTTTGTAGATCAAAGGATGAATATCAATCTACTCATCTCTGTAGATCTATTATTTGCAGGATAAAATCCCTTTTGTAGATCAATTGATCAATTTATTTATCAACAATGTTGATCAATTAATCAATTTATTTATCAACCTTACAGATCGATGAGTAAAACAAGAGGTAAATAAAATTATCATGAAGATTGTTGAATCAAAGAAAAAAAACGACAACAAATTAATTCATTTTTATAATAAATTAGTTTTTTTACGATAATCTATTAATCACACAAAAAGATAAGATTAAAATTTTGAAGAGTTAAAAGTACAGTTATTTAAATTTGTGTGAAACGGAAAATTATGAAATCACATAAATTTCACCAGAAGGAGATCAGGGAGATCATTCATTAGGCGTACTGTTTGGTGTGCCCTGCATTTAGCCTGTAATTGTATTGTACACTGTACAGCTACATGTACACTCAGAGATAAGAGAGTTACAGATTAACACCTGTAATATGCGATATTTTCCATAGCATGTTCTATTGTGTACAAGTACTGTACACGACCATTCAGGAGACATCTGTATTCAGAGCCCAAAACTTAAGACAGGGTATCGTTCTGAAAACTAGTTCTAAAACCCGGGTTTCACGAATGGGGTTAGGCAGTTTTAAGAATATTAATATTTTTGTTATGAAATATTATTTTATTCAGTTTGTTTATATTCTCAATTTTTTTTTGATTCTCTTAAATCAAAATCTACACAAATGTTTAGACCCCAAGAAGGAAACTCGGGAGTTTTGTTCAACGATACTCTTTTAAATTTCGGGCTCAGGGATATTTAAAAATAGACATTATTCATAAACGTTAAGTTTTATGTTTAAAATTGAGTATTTCTTTAAAAGTTGTAAAACTTAACCCCTGAATGCAACAAATGGCCGTGAGATGTCAGTCAAAAAACATTACATGGAACCGTAACATGGCGTGCCGGGACACTATAGGCCTGCTCAGCCTACCCAGGAAGAGGGCATGAGCAGTCTGTGTAGTCTGTGTGTACACTGTACAGCTTGCTCTAGCTGGTTAAAAGCTCAGTACTTGAAATAAACCAGGGGTTTGATAAACAGGAACAAAGTTTGTTCATGTTTATCCATATTCGTTTCATGATAACCTTAAAAGCTTTACACTCGTCAAGAATCAACAAGATATCCATTAAATGGTGGAGCTCCGTGGAAAGTGAGTAGCGTCACTAGTTACGGTATTACTCTAGCATGCCGAGTCCATTAGCGCCTGATCCAATCAGGGTTCAGTCATGTGTTTGTTGTCTATTCTGAACCAATAAAAATAGTATCGCGGTAATATCTACCTTTCTTTCTATCTCATTATCCAATGAGAGTTGTGAATCCTTCAATCGGCACTATCAGTAAATGAATATCTACTTCTACTGAAACTATAGTGTTCTTCCAAGATTGGAATTAAAATTGCAATCTAGCGATTAACGTCTTGCTTGCTCTCTGGTGGCCAAAAAAAACTTTACTTATTTCGATGTCCATATACGCTACTATGGTTCAATGGCTAAAACAACAATAGCAACAATATATCCATTTAATGTTTTATAAGATTCATAAAACATTTAATTTAAAGAGATAGTAGATTTAATTTCAAGATAAACTCCATTTAATGGCATGTCTGATTCACACTCCTGCTATCGTTGTTTTTCTCCCCGAAAACGTTATGAATTCTGTCAAAACCTTTCCTTGTCTCTGCAAAATAAATCCGAAAGTCAAATTTTATGAAAATGAAAATAGTTATTTCTTGCTTTATATATGGAGGGTCACTTAAAATTACGTCTACAGTCCCTTTTTACCTCATCCTTTATATGCATTGCATTGAAAGCTGTAATGCTGTTCCTGAATGCAACACTTCCAAATCCAGGCCTAGAAATACAGGCAATACAGAGAGTATTCGTGAAAACTTGTGGATATCGAGATCAATGGGTTCGATCAATCTAAGATTATTTTAATCTTTAGTTTGTATCCAGGAAAGTGTCTAAAAGTCAACCAATGAGAGTGTCGTTTTCAGGAACCGAACAGCCAATCAGAAGCTGGGAAATTTTGCGCGCCCCCATTTTTAAATAGAGGGTCACTTAAAATTCCAACGTCAGTCCCTTTCTACCTGTTGAATATACTGGAGGGTTCGGATAGATATTTGTTGGGTTTGCTCTCTCCTTCTAGTTCTAGTCTATCTATATCATCATCTAGAAATATACAAATATAAGGTTTACTCTCTCCTACTAGCTCTATAGTCTATCTATATCATTAGTTAGTAATATACAAATATAAGGTTTACTCTCTCCTAGTCTATCTATATCAGCATCTAGAAATATACAAATATAAGGTTTACTCTCTCCTACTAGCTCTATAGTCTATCTATATCATTAGTTAGTAATATACAAATATAAGGTTTACTCTCTCCTACTAGCTCTATAGTCTATCTATATCAGCATCTAGAAATATACAAATATAAGGTTTACTCTCTCCTTCTAGCTCTATAGTCTATCTAAATTATCATCTAGAAATAAACAAACATAAGGTTTACTCTCTCCTTCTAGTTCTATAGTCTATCTATATCAGCATCTAGAAATAAACAAATATAAGGTTTACTATCTCCTTCTAGTTCTAGTCTATCTATATCAGCATCTAGAAATATACAAATATAAGGTTTACTCTCTCCTTCTAGCTCTATAGTCTATCTATATTATCATCTAGATATATACAAATATAAGATTTACTCTCTTCTACTAGCTCTATAGTCTATCTATATCATCATCTAGAAATAAACAAATATAAGGTTTACTCTCTCCTACTAGCTCTATAGTCTATCTATATCATTAGTTAGTAATATACTCTATTCTATTTACTCCCAGCATTAATTTTTTTTTGAAAATTCCCAAAAAATTTTAGAAAATCCAAAATATTTTACATTGTTATATTTTAAATATTTAAAACAGATGACCCGCAAATGCTATGAGAAGTTCCGGGTCGACTTTGAAGTGTCGCAATGACTTGGCATTTATTGTTACCGCACTAAATTACTTATAATATTTTTACAGTCCTAGACATGTTTATTTTAAAACTAAAATGCCCTTTTTACAGCTGAAGTTTCAGAGAAGTAATTTTCAAATCACTTTTATCGATATTTGAGTCAAAGTTTGATTCCCATGGTTAAAATAAATTTATTTTCAAAGCTGAGGTGACGCATTGTTTCTGAAAAATGAAGAAGGAAAATCGTTTTTTTTTTAATAATTCTGAAAGAGTTAAAACTAACGTTTTAAGAGTTTGAACTTAAATAAAACGAAACTATTTTCCCACGGTAAAAAGCATTTTTTTTTCTTAAATTTCTGTTATAACGCGAAATTATTATTATGTCCCTCTTAATTTTGACAGTCAGATTAACGCGCAATTTTTAACGATCGTAAACTTTTTTTAACGGAACGACTATCTGCAGTAAAAATGCTACTTACTTTCTTTATTCATGAAAATTATCTCTGAATCCCTCCGAAGACCCGCCAAACTTCGAACAGTACGTTTTCCGTCAGACTTAAAATATGCTATTACATTTTCATACAATTTGGGATGAAGAATGGCATGTGATTGTATGCAGTAAGTAAGTCTATTCTCTATAATTCCCATGTTTGTTGGTTCACCCATGTTTAAAGATTATCAATAAAAATTAGATGAAAACCATTAAAAACAAATGCAAAATCTAATCAAAATTAGAGATACAAATTTAAGTCGAATTATCATTTTTTTCAAAACAGACTTTTTACCCCGTCATGTCTAACAAAATAACTGTTTATTTACTTTTAGCGAGGAATTACAGGGAAACACGAGGAAAAGTCAATTTCCGGTAAAGTGCAGTTTTCCCGAAGGAAATTATCGCTATAAGTAAAAGTATGTAGTTGTATCCCATTCTTTAAGCAACATTATCAACCGATTAAACTTTTAAATAATAATTAATAAGTATATTAAATTGTGGCGTTGATAATATTAATATGTCTAAATTAAAATGTCTAGGATTAAATGAAATACAGGGATATTCATAAGGTATCAAACTTCAGAGTTTAGACATTGCCTTATGACAGTTATTATGGCGAGTTGCTAATAGGACCAAATGAAGTCAAGGCTAAATGTTATAAGACGAGTTTGAATTAGGCGAAATGTTAGTGAACCAGAAAAAATGATATACCTGGGTATCTTTGACGGTAAACTCTGAATTAGGTTTCTGTCCAATCTTTTTGAAAACTCCACTCTTTAGCTTTTTGGAGTTCACTGTGCCTCCAACCATCTCAGAATATCTACAAATACAATAAATGAGAAATCAGGATTCATCAATCTCATGCAAATCCATGCAGCAAAAGAATGATGCAGGTTTTAAGACTGGAGTGGATAGACACCTTAGCGATTTTGGTAGCTCTGGACGTATACATTTTAAAACTGTAAAACATTGTTTTTAGCTAAACATTTGTATAAGTAATTGGCAAAATCTCATCGATTTTAAACATTTCTGATGACAAACGTTTAATGTGAAATCAAGTTTGATATAATGTGCCAAAATAAATCTGATGTGGCATAATAAATCTGATGTGCCATAATAAATCTGATGTGCCATAATAAATCTGATGTGCCATAATAAATCTGATGTGCCATAATAAATCTGATGTGTCATAATAATCTAAAACGCTTTTAATCGCTACTAATCTTACTTCTATCTGCTGCGTCAATAGTGAGAAAAATGTTTAAAACGACTTATACTGAAGAACGTAAGGCCAACAAATTCAGAAAGTTGCAATGTATGACTCGTATCGTAAAATAATCAATTTAACCCTATTCCTGCTGGGGGGGGGGGTCAATTTGACCCCCCCCTGTAGTTTTTTTTACATAACTCAAAAAGTATTGGTCTGAGGCTGTTGAAATTTTCTGACTTTTTTTACATACCCATAGCCCTCCCTTTAGGCCTAAAACTGGGCTTTAATACTAACTGCCTGAGTCCTCAGGCACACTGCCTGAATGACTGCTTTTTCCTGTAACAAACTAAATCTTTGTTTTGACCCACTGCCACTTGTCAGATTTTGATAAAATTTAGCTTTTTGGAAAGCCTTTGACATAAGGAAACAAATTGCACAAGTTTTGCGAAAAAAAATTTCAATTTTTTTGCAAACAACCTGTCAAAGGAAATTTGCACATTTTTAGTTTTTCTTTATTAAAAATCAGGTTATTTAAAATTTTGCAAAAATTTTTGCATATTTGAAATGGCATGGTCAAGGGCTTTCCAAAAATGTATAATTTTTCATTTTTGGGAAAAAAATTTTTTTGCAAACATTTTCACTATATAACTGGATTTTGCGATAAAAAATTCAAATTTGCAAATTTTTTGCAGATTCTAAAAGTAGAGCACAAGAGCTTTCCAATGATGTATCATTTGTCATATTTGGACATCAAACATGGGATTTAGAGGGGGGGTGTCAAATTGACCCCCCCCCCAGCATATCCTGGTTTTCAAGTACCCCAGCAGAGATAGGGTTAATTTCAAACAAATCATTCAGATATTACAACCTAAAGTTATCGATTATTTTTTGACGCATTCGTATATATTTGATATTTCATAATATTTGTTATTTGTTTTATAAACAATTCACTTAAACGACTTTTTTCCAGTGCTCACCGTACTGAAAGTCTAAAAGTCGTCTTCCTAATTCAGAATTTTTTGGTTAATGGTAGAATCTTTTAAATTATACCTTACTGTTCCAGGGGGAGGAGCCATTACTTTACTGTCCCGTCTACCAACTAGAATACAGCGGATTATATTATATATGTTCTGGAATATTACCCCCCCCCCCTCTATAAAATAGTATTTTTAGATGTTTGATAATTGTAATTATATACATACAGGGTGTCCCACGAAACATGCCAGTAGCAAGACGACTTTAAAGTCGTCTTTGATCTTTGAATTCAGTTGTCAACCTACTTTTAACATGTATGATTATCAAAACTAGGGTATTTTGTGATTATTATCTCTAGAATTTTACATTTTACTTCTAAAATTAGATTGAGATACAGGAGCTGCAAATTATATCAAAATTCAAAGCTGACCTTCAAGTCGTCTTGCTACCATCACGTTTTGAGGGACACTCTGTAGCTGTCCCAAAATTTGGTCCCTTTTCCTGATATCTATGTACACATTCCTAAACCTTAAACAAGTACCTATTCCAAGCTAGGTTTCCATTTCTAATATCTCTATACCTGTTCCTAATCCAGAAAGGAGAGCCCCTCCTAAGCTAGGTCTCCTTTCCCAATATCTCTATAGTAAAGAGTCTATACCTGTTCCTAATCCAGAAAGGAGAACCCCTTCCAAGCTAGGTCTACTTTCCTAATATCTCCATATGTGTTCCCAATCCAGAAAGAAAAGCCCCTCCCAAGCTATGGTTTCCTTTCCTAATATCTCTATACCTGTTCCTAATCCAGAAAGGAGAGCCCTTTCCAAGTTAGGTCTCTTTTCCTAATTTCTCTATACCTGTTCCTAATCCAGAAAGGAGAGCCCTTCCCAAGTTAGGTCTCCTTTCCTAATATCTTTATACCTGTTCCTAATCCAGAAAGGAGAGCCCTTTCCAAGTTAGGTCTCTTTTCCTAATATCTCTATAGTAAAGAGCCTATACCTGTTCCTAATCCAGAAAGGAGAGCCCCTCCCAAGCTCTCCTTTCCTAATATCTTTATACCTGTTCCTAATCCAGAAAGGAGAGCCCTTTCCAAGTTAGGTCTCTTTTCCTAATATCTCTATAGTAAAGAGCCTATACCTGTTCCTAATCCAGAAAGGAGAGCCCCTCCCAAGCTAGGTCTCCTTTCCTAATATCTCTATACCTGTTCCTAATCCAGAAAGGAGAGCCCCTCCCAAGCTAGGTCTCCTTTCCTAATATCTTTATACCTGTTCCTAATCCAGAAAGGAGAGCCCCTCCCAAGCTAGATCTCCTTTCCTGTTGCCTTTCTATATCTTGAGTAGGAAAAAGACTCATTCTGAAAAATAAAAATAAATCATAAATAAAACTCCTATAAGACGTCCTTGCATATTCTAGCCGCAGTGCTCGGCCCCTAGCTAATCCTATCCGCAGCCTTAGACCTAACCTAGCTCAGAATAAGATAACAAATGTAAAATACTTTAAATCAAAAAATGTTCGAAGTTTGGTCATTCCGGAGTTTATATTTTTGGAATTTGTTATATATAGTGCTTTATACTTAGAAGTGATTTTTAGCATGCTAATTTTTTATTAGAATAAAAACCATGAAAAAACATAGATTTTAAATGCATATTAACCCTGTTCCTACTGACTTCTGCTTTAAACATATAGTTTCGAAAAGAATAAGTTTTATTAATATATTTTTATAGGTTTTAATGGATACGTTGAACAGTGTTAACGAATGTGAAAAAGCAGCCTAGGTTGTCGTCTTCCATCAACAATCAACAAATAACGAGAGTAACACTGCGCAAAGATTTACGTACATTGTGGCGTCATTATGATCGTGGTATCGGATAAATACAGCCGGTAGGGCTTTTAAAAAGAGGGAAATATTTGCTTCATGACACCTTATGTCTTTCAGTTCTTGGACTGATCGAATACATTGTGTTTACCTTCGTCTTTCTTTCTCCATTTTCTCGTCTTCTTTAGAGGACATCTTATCTGCTTTAAGCTGTAACTTCTATAATAACTTATTTTTGTAAATTTTTTTGTTCATAATATCTTTACAACCTGATGGTGTACACCTTTGATATGTCAAACTTAGACAGAATTCATAGTTTAAGATATCAAAGGTTTTAGACATTGGGTATTAAAATATCAGAGTTTATGGCAAAAACTTATTTTCTTTATCATTAGATTAAACATGATTTCAACGATTTAGGGTCAAATCATTTCTGTTAAGTAAAGGATAGTTTAATGAAACTCCATCAGTATGAACGAATGAACGAAACGGTTTGCGAAAAAATGCGAACATTTTCATTCGCATTTCGAAAACTTATTGCGATAATTAAACAAAAAATAAAATTATAAATTTTAAGATAGGAAAACTAGGATATCTTCATTATTTCTATTCTAATTGTACGGTTGTGAATTGTGCTTATTTTCATGATTATCAAAGATGTTGATCATTTAACTTTTTTTGCATTCTTCAATTTTGAAGGCTCCCATATATAGGGGAGAAGGGGGGGGGGGTCACTTACCATCCGCCCCCCTCTACAGCTTACACGCCTTTGTTGTCAATTATTTTTTTTTCTTTATTTTTTTCACCTGAAACGCTTTGATTCTCTTTTCTGCTTCCTTCTTTGATTTTTCTTGTTGTGTTTTCACCAGCTTTGCATTATTTGCCTCCTAACATAAACACAAGATTATTTGCCTCCTAACATAAACAATTGTTTAAAATATAAATCAAGCACAAACACAAAATGCAAAAGTGAGATCGAAATTTTTTTACTTTAGAGCTAACTTTTCGAATGAAAAAATGTACCCTCTATCTACCCTCTATCTTAAAAAAAAGTTTCAATCTCAATACAAACGGAAAGGGAGATCAAAGAGTTCAAATGATTTTCACAAAAGGTCTCCAATCTCCATGATATGAAAAAAAAAACAAAAAAAACATAGGGAGAATTATTAAAAATCTACATTTTGTGTACATTCAGTTTTTACAAAAGAAGAAGAAACTCTCCTTTGTCGGTAAAAAGTATAAAAAAGTATAAAAAAGTATAAAAAAGTAAAAAAAGTATAAAAAAGTAAAAAAAAAGATCTTCAAAAATCATTGTTGTAATTCTTAAAAAAATACACCCCTGAAAATTATTTTACAACAAATCATAAATGCTGAGCATCCTCTGAAGAAAAACATTAAAAAAATAAAAAGTAAAGTTACAAAAAAAATTACTCCATTGAAATTTTATATTTTTTCTTGATAAAACTTAAGCTTCAAGAAAGGGTTTACATCGCCTTTCTACTTTTACATCAAAATGAAGTGTTAAAGGGCCTGTTCATGTAATTTTAAGTGACCTTCCATTTTCAGAGTTTTTTCAGGAAACTGATTATTTTCAATTCTGGGTTTTCTAGAAAAGAGACTTATCCATTTCTACTGCTAGGAAACATCTATGAAATTTTCAAAATGAAACACTGTTCTAGCTCTTCAAACTACGTTATATCTTTCACATTATTCATCAGATAAAGGTTTCAAGGGTGCTGCACGTTGTTAATCGTAATGTTCCTCTTTAAATGGAGGGTCACTTGAAATTGCGCCTACAGTCCCTTTAACTTACCTGGAGAGATGCTGCGCTGTCTAAGAATTTAAGAATTTCCTCTTTACTATTGATAGCAGCTAAATCCTAAAATAATATTAATAATGGGAATGTTCTACGTAAAACTAATTTCATCGAGATCCGCCAGGTTTGCATCGAAATATTTTCATATTTTAATCTCTCACTCAAAACCCTTCGAAAATAGCGATTAAGGAACTTAATATACTAAATATTCAAAATACATATTCCAATAATATAGCAAATAATACAAATCTACATACAATGGGTGAAAATGGGTTTTAAAAATAAGTTTTACTGGAATTTTAACCAGAACCTCAAGATTACAATGCTTATACAACAGGACCTCTAGTTTACAGTGTTTACAACAGGACCTCTAGTTTACAGTGCTTACAACGGGACATCTAGTTTACAGTGCTTACAACAGGACAGGACCTCTAGTTTACAGTGCTTACAACAGGACCTCTAGTTTGCAGTGCTTACAACGGGACATATAGTTTACAGTGCTTACAACAGGACCTCTAGTTTACAGTGCTTACAAAAGGACATATAGTTTACAGTGGATATACAACAGGACCTCTAGTTTACAGTGCTTACAGCAGGACATATAGTTTACAGTGGATATACAACAGGACCTCTAGTTTACAGTGCTTACAGCAGGACCTCTAGTTTACAGTGCTTATACAACAGGGCCTCTAGTTTACAGTGCTTACAACAGGACCTCTAGTTTACAGTGGATATACAACAGCAACTTGTATGCATATTAAATGTGTATGAAATAAATTTTCAAAGAAATTAGGCTTATCTTTAATTTGTAATATTGCCTATATTGTCCTTGTATCTCTCAGTTTATACAATTTTCTCTAAATATTTTCAATTTGAAGTCGTACATATATTTTAAACTTAAAATTCGGTGATAATGATGTGTAAATAAAGTGGATATATAGTTCCACATTTTATTGAAAATGTATTTCGGTCTGTAGGTTATCTTTCGTCAGTTAACGATATAATAACCTTTAAAATCTATAATAAAAAATGTTAAAAACCACGAGAAAATGAACAAAAAAAAACATTTTATTTTAAACTTTGGCTATCTCGTCCAGCAGAATTCATGGTTTAAAATCTTTATATTGCAAAGATAAACAAAAATAATAATAATAATACCTTTGATGTATGAAGGTCTATATCTAAGTCCCAGATATTAACCCCAAAATTAACCAGGAAAGTAACACAGTTCAGATGTCCCTAAAATTCAAGTGGAAAATCAAAGGCGAAACTAAAAAAATAAGGGGGGGGGGGTCGGAAAAAAATCAGGAACAGGGTTTAATTTATCAATAATCAATATAAAAGCATTAGTAGGAAGGGGTAGGTGGGTGGGCAAATATGTTTATTTATATTTATAAAGCCAACAATTAAGAATAAAAAATAGTTATGAAAATAAAAAAGCGTAATATTAAAAAAGATTTTTGACAATTTTATTGCCTTTGTCCCATTTTGAAATTAAGTAAACAGAGATTATTTTTGAAATTATTTTTTTGTCCATAGACCTGGTTTTAAACCCGTTTGATTTTTATTTGATTTTTAAATTGATTTATGAGAAGTAGGTTTATCAACAGAAAGAATAATTAGAACTTTACAATATCTTTTTTTCTGAATCGTTGTTCACGAAACGATCAATTCTTTCGTTCAGAAAGGTGAAAACTATACTGTTCATTATAGTTAAAAATTAATATTATTTTCACAGTGAAAACCAGAAAACAATGGAATAGAAAGACGACAGACATTATAGCAATACTTAAGCGTTTTGATGTTGTTACAAAGCAAATATTTTTACTGGTAACTTAGTTTAAGTCCTAACTTGAGTTTAAAAGTCGTCTTCCTAATTTAGAGTTTTGTGGTTATCACTGTATTTTTATCAATTACCTTGGCCGATGAGAGATGAAGGGCAGTGTTACCGTAGTTATCACATTTCTCTGGATCTCCACTGTAATAAATGTACTAAGATCTCCACTGTAATAAATGTACTAAGATCTCCACTGTAATAAATGTACTAAGATCTCCACTGTAATAAATGTACTAATATCTCCACTGTAATAAGTACTAAGATCTCCACTGTAATAAATGTACTAAGATCTCCACTGTAATAAATCTAATAAGATCTCCACTGTAATAAATGTACTAAGATCTCCACTATGATAAATGTAATAAGATCTCCACTGTAATAAATGTACTAAGATCTCCACTGTAATAAATGTACTAATATCTCCACTGTAATAAATCTACTAAGATCTCCACTGTAATAAATCTACTAAGATATCCACTGTAATAAATCTACTAAGATCTCCACTGTAATAAATCTACTAAGATCTCCACTGTAATAAATGTACTAAGATCTCCACTGTAATAAATGTACTAAGATCTCCACTGTAATAAAAGTACTTTCGTGTCTTGATTTTCTTTTTAACATTTTTCATGAATAATTTTTATAAAATCCGATTCTTAAATTCTTCCTACCCAAAAAGGAAAATCCATGAGGATTTTAAAGATTGAATTTTGCGCAATCATAGGTGTCAAATAGATTCTAAAATTGTCCCTACAATACTGCACTTCGAGGCCAACTACCATGTCTAGCCAGTCTCTCCCTTTAAGGGCACCGATGTCAATTCTACACTATCAATAAAGATTTATATTCATGAAATTAAATTTAAAGTCCCTCTATTATCGGAAACAAATCATGAATTGCACCATGGCACCAGTTCTCAAAAAGGTGGTTTCTGGCTTAAAAATGTATTTGACCCTAAATTGGGTTAAGTTAAGTTAAGACTACAACATGTTGGCGGATAATAAAAACTATTATTTATTTAATATGTATTGAGCTAATAAATAAATGGCAAGTTTAATACATATTGAATAAATACATTATAGAAGGCATGAATTCTTACCCTCTGCCAACCAGTAGTCGCAGAGCATCCAGATTTCCTTCAAAAGCAGCCCAGAGGGTCGGAGTCATACCATCCTCATCCTTGGAGTTGCAATCCTTCCTAGAAATATATACTTCAATCAATGTCGTCTTTAAGCACTAAACTAAATTTTCAAATAATTTATAAATTAACAAAACTAACCTTGTTGCTTCTCGAAGTACATCCAAGTAGCCATCCTGGGCCGCTCTATAATATCAAACCATTATTTTAAATAAAATATTTTTTTAATACAAGCAAGTTTTTAAACCCCATATATTTTAATGCTATCTATTATGTAGATATCTTGGCAATATTATAATAAAGGAAAAAGAAGTCAAAATTTAAAAAAATTAAGTACAGGGTGTCCCACAAAACATGTCAGTTGATAAATAATTTTGAATGTCGTCTTTAATATGCTTTATTATGATATTAAAGGCTTTTTGCAGTTTATTTCGTTAAAAAATCTTTTGCTGTCATACATTTTCTTTGAAATCAATTTTACTGTAATATGATTATATGACTCCCAATCACTAATTTAATTTTTGTCTCTGGTATCAAACCACTTTACAAATTATGGAAGAAGACACTCTAAACTGTTCACCAACTGTCATGTTTCGTGGGACACCCTGTATTTAAACATAAATTAATTTAAAGTACATTACTAATATTGAAATTAATGAGTAAAACTTACTTGTGAAATCGTTCAACCATTGTAAAACCAGTTTCAGAAGACAAATTAAACAGCTCTCATTTAATCTAAATGTCGTTGTAATTTTAACCTTTATAAAGCGGGGCAACCCCGATTTACAACGGTGCCCTAGAAAACTTTTTTTGATCAATAATGTGGGAGATATCGTCGCTTTTCTAGCTGGAAAAGGCTAAAATTGCTTGAAGCATAAATCGCAAGACACTTTTATGAAAAATTTCTTTTTGAAAATAATCAGTTTAAAAATAAAACTTGGAATTTTCTTTTATTTCTTGATCAGAAACAAGTTTAAAAAGTACCGTTGTGAATCGGATAACTGACTACATGAAGTTCACTTGAAATTACAACTACAGTCCCTTTTTCTGTCTAAGGACTACAGGAAACAGCTGCACAGCTGTCTAGTCACAGACAGCAGACAGCAGAAAGATAAATCTGAAATAAAAATAAATCAAAACTTTAATTCCATCAGAGGTCATTTAAAAGCTTACATGTCGCCAAACTATTGATTTTAAATTTCGAAAATTTGTAGAGTAAAGTGAAGAAAATTGGACTGCATTAAGAGTAAACAATGTAATAGTTGCGGGTATCCGCCTTCCCCCCCCCCCCCCTCCAGTCTTTTTATTAATTGAAATATGTTTTAATTATTAGTTTTTAAAATTTTCATTTTACACAATACAAATGTTAAAAAGTTATATAAAACTTTTTTTTCCAAAAAAATCACAACATGGAAAAAACGAAATTTATAAGTATCCAAAAAATCTTAAAAAGAACCTACAATTTTCTTTTTATGAAGTATTAACATTAAATATGCTGATAAACTGTGTAACATAGGATAAAAATGAATTGTAGATAAGAGAACCTTATCTTATTAGTGCATATTTTGTGTGTACATTATTAGATATAGCATATCACTGACTAACTTGTCAATCTATAAAGTAATAGTAATTTAACCCCCTAGGACAATATGACCTTTTTTATAAAAATTACCAACATGCAGCTAAAATTGTTCAATTAAAATTACAAAAAACATTTTCAAATTTTTTTCAACATTTTTCTAAAATGGGTCAGCCCAAGCACTTTGAAAAATCAACATTCACTAAGGGAGGTTGATTTTTCAGTTCTTTAAACATGTCGATATGGGTTTCTGAAGTTCCGCATTTACCCACTGAATATTGCCCACTTGTTGGTTTTTTTAAAATTGCCAAAAATTGGTTGATATAGGGCCAAAAAAACTACAGTTTTTGGAAGAAATTTCCGGTAAAAATTCCGTTTTTTGCCTAATACTTATTAAATTCTAACCTTTTTTATGATTTTAACATTCATGAATTCAGTGTTTAAAGACGGATATTTTTGGTTTAACCATCTCGACATATTTTGGAAACAAAATATTTTTGCTTGCACCAGAGTGATTTATTATTTACAAAAACGTGATGCGCTGCATAAATTTAAAATTAAAAGCTGAATTTTACAAAGATTTTATTACATTTTTTCCATTTTTAGAGTGGCATGTCCTATGGTACCCTTTAAACATCTATCTCACGCTAGTTTAAAGGCACAGACCGTCTGTGTAAGGTAACTAAACTGTGTATGCAGTGTTGTCGAAAAACTCCTTAGGATTCATTTGAGACATATAAAACGTTTCCACGATGTTTAATTACTGAGTTTGAGCGAAAAGTCGACGTTCCAAATAATAAATTTGGTTGGTACGTTTTCAAAATCGTTTTTTAATTATTAAATAACGACGACGAAAAATATGGTAAAAATTCTGTAGTAAACTAATAAGATGTTTAGGAACATATTTCTAAAAAGAAATTTGTCAATCAATCAATGTTAGAATTATATGTCTCAAAAAAATCCTAAAGAATTTGTCCACAACACTGCATACTTAATTTAACTACCTTAAATAGCCGGTCTGTCCCTTTAAATCTGTTTCTCTTTATATTTGGTTGGCGGACGCGGTCTAAATGAAAAACTGCAAATGCAAATGAACGAACGAAATTCGTTCATTTCCGATTTAAATTTTCGCGAATTTCTATGCTTTTTTGACGAAACTTTTGACCTCATTCTCGCGAAAATGTTTCACTTTCCAGAAATTTCCGTTCAATTTTAGTTTTATAAAATTAAAATTTTTCCATTGCGCATCAAGAAGATTGTATTCATGCGAAAAAAAACAAGATTTTGAACGAAAAGCCGAAAATCTCGAACAAATATTGTGAATTTCGCGATAAAATTTTAACAAAAATTTTCGCAAAATTTCATAAGAATTTTCGTTTTTCGCGAAGGAGATTTAACGAAAAATCAGAAAGCCTAATATTATCGGTAGACAATATGGCTATATATGCAGATAATTCAACGTACTTGAATAAAGTGAATAAAAATGGACTGAGCGAACAGAAAAGAAGAATATGGGGAAAAAATGTTTTTTTTTTTGCATCCATTAATAACTAGTCACTAAAAAAAGTAATTTGTAAAATTATGAAAACAAGAAATACCAAATTTGGTTAAAAATAATTGAACATTTTAAAGATGATTATAATCTATACAGTGATAACCAGAAAACTCTGAATAGAAAGACGACTTTATAGAAATACTTAAGTGTATATGATGGTGTTACAAAGCAAAGAGTTTTACCTGACACTAATTAAATCACTTATTAAGTAAAATGGGTCTGTTTACACTAAACACTTTCTGTGTACCATGCTTATTGGTTTCTTTAAATCTTCCTTTTCCAGAGTTTTCTGGTTATCACTGTATTAAATATGTATATGTTTAAAATTCCTTTAAATTGAATAACATTATCGTCTGTTAATATCCCAACCCCGTTACTCCACTTTTTAGATAAAAATAAGTTTTAAAAAGTTGAAATTCATTAATTTCGATGTAAAGAGTATTTTTCTTCATTTTTACATTTTTTTAAGTAAAAAAAGAAATAATATCAATAAAATATCCTGGACTTTTGTAAAATATTAAAGGGACTGTATACGTGATTATGATCAATAATGTGGAAGATTGAAAAGTGTTAATTTATATTCTGAAGTAGAAAGGCGCATGTTACTTTTATAGAGAAACCACAATAGAAAATATTTAGTATTCCAAATTATAAACATTGATATCTAATTCATGCTTGAACAGACACCGCTTTAAACATGCACCCCTGACCCTGCAGTAAAAGTAAATTCAACCTAAAGTCTGACTGCATCAACCTTCTAGCACCGGCTAGTCCTATTGAGTGTCTAATTATCTACCCGATGTCCCGGCGATACAGTACAAACTGGGACTGGATAGGTTGACCCGGCTCGGAAATTCAAATGTACAAAGGCTGCCCGTGTAAAGGGAACCGTACTGAATCAAGTATTGTCATCTTCCCATGAAAGGTCACATGAAATTATGCAAACAGTTCCTTTAAAAATAAAAATAAATGAATGAAATGAACGATGACATGTTAAAAATCTTACTCTTATGCTTTTGATTTATTAGACCATATAAATTTAATATTATATTCAATCAATATTCGAAGTTTTCCTCCACGTGGCGAATACATATATAACATAAAACTAGGATTGTTTATCTTCTTGAGAGAAAACAATATATAAACCCTTTACGTTAAGGACACTTTACACAATAAATGACTACTGCTTAGCTTAATTTAAAAAGATTTTCACGTTTTAAATTGTGCATTTTAAAAACCAAAATATAGATTGAAATTAATTATGTCTATTTGAACCAGTAACACATCAGACATCGCATAATATACATTAGTAATACACATTAATAAAAAAAAACTCAGATTTAAGTTGATAAATTTACCTCCAACATTTCGAAATTGTATTCTTTTAAAGCATACTTTTATAAAACTTTGCAATTATTTATCCTAAGAGAAAAAAAAAGTTTTCTGTTAGGGTTTAAAATAAACAATTTTGAATTTTGCAAAATTTTCACATTTTTGCGGATACTTTTAAAAATTTCCAAAAACTAACCAAAACTTAATTATTCTCTCTGCAAGAGTGTATACTTCTATTCTATTTTTAAAACTCTACAATGCTGTACCAATTACCAAACAACCAAACTATATACATAGAAAACTTTTTAATAATGAACCAAACAAGCAAACTATATACATAGAAACTCTTTAATGTTGAACCAAACAAGCAAACTGTAAACAAAGAAAACTCTTCAATTTTGAACCAAACAAGCAAACTGATCGAATGATGAAACCTTAATGACGACCTAAAACAAAAGCTAAATTTAAACTATCATTTGCATAAAAAAATATCAGAAACATATCCACCTGTAGTTTCTCAATCCAAATTTGAGACAAATCGGTCAAAGGCAGACAATTATAGAGATTACTTTTTTAAATATTATATATATGTTTTTTATTGTAGAATATTTTTACATTTTATGTCGTCGTTAATTAATAATTTAAAAAAAAAACCTAATTCTGAAAGCGTATCCACCCCCAAATCAGGAGTTTTGAACGTCGAATTTGCGCTCAAACTCAGGATTTACAGACTTTTAAAAAGTGAAATATGTCTCAAATGAATCCTAAAGAAGTTTTCCACAACACTGCGTCCTCAGTTCAACTACCTTACATAGCCGGTCACTCCCTTTAAGAAACAGGAGTAGTCCCTTAATTATATCAATAAATAGTTGTCATGGTTGATCACTGAGCACTCTTTGGAACTTAGAAGAGAAAACATGGTTCGGACAATTTACAGATAATTTCGCTAATTTTGTAAACATTAAAAACTTGTCTCGTCATTGTCACGGGAACATATTAAGTATTAACTGCGGGAAGGAAAAGGGGTTTAAAGCAAAAATAAAAATTTAAAAATCTTCAGATTTTAAGAGACTGTTGGAAGACTTTCAAAAACCCTGTAGTAAAGCGTTATATATATGCCCGTTCAGACCGGTGCACTTCTATAAATAATAAATAATAAAAAAATAAAAGTTAAAACTTCTTACATGTTTTTTTTTCTTTTCTCCGCTGCTGAAAAGGGTTTAAGTTACTTTTTAAAACCATAAATTGAAAATTATCAAATTTAAGATAAAATGAAGGATTGCACTTGAAATTACGCCTACAGTCTCTTTAACCCTATTCAGACTCACTTCGATATTACCCAAAATAGTCTGGGAGGGGGTTTTTATTAATGCAAATATAGGAGGGGGGGGGGGTCCCGGGTACCCCCTCCCTCCTATATTTCCTTATTGTGATACAAATCAACAACATTTGATACATTTTAGGAAAGCCATCGCATTATCATTGCAATATTAAGTTAACTATCAAGCAACAAATGTGAAGAAAAAAAAATAAGTGCGCTAAATGTGATAAATTATACATTCTTGAAAAGAGACCTTACTGCACGTAATAAGTGATAAGTTTTGAACAACCCTTACCACGGCGAATTCAAATTTGCAAAACAATATCGGCAGAATTTTTAAAAACTAAATTTGTTTTCAAGGAAAACTGAAAAATGTACAAATTCTCTGTAAAGGCATACGTGCATAAATCTGCGAAACATTTATTCTGAAAATTGTGCAATATGCTTAGTAATAGTGCTAGTAGGTCTAAATATAGATTTAGTCGGGTAAAGGTAAACTAAGGCATTCTGGCAGTATGATTGGGGACCCAGGCAGAAGGATATTAAACCCCCTCTTTGAGCCTAAAGTGAGGTTAATTAGAAAAGTCAAAATATTTGATTGCTGTGATTTTAAATTAATAGATACGGATTTAATATCACGACATCTTTGTGTAAACATTCCACAAGAACAACGACTAGGTCTAATTTAGACTCACACGAGTTTATTTAAACTAGAAAATTTATATTATGTCCTTTGTCTGAGAATGTTACATTGTGGATTTTACAGTCGTTTTCCCAGCTTAAAAACGTTTAAATGTGACAAAGAAATTGAGTCTTTGCCGCAAACTGTGATATTTTATATCCCTATATCTTTGTAACCCAATGCCGCAGACATTAGATATTTCAAACTATGAATTCTGTTAGATCAAAAAATCAAAGGTGTTCACCTTACGGTTGAAAAGATAAAGGGATTTATTATAAAATTTTAGTTTGTGGCAAAGAGTCAATTAATTCCTTTCGCTAATGTTTCCAAGTGAAAAAAAAACTTTAATTGAAATTAATCAATTTTTATTAAAAAAATATTATAAAATCTTTTGCATTCTTAGCTAGGCAAAACTTTTAAGGGTACCGTTGTGAATCGGACATGTCACTCTATTAGAGGGGGGGTCACTTGAAATTATATTGACAGTCTTTATCTCAAATATAAATAAAAATTTAATATTTTTTAACAATCTGACACTTACTATTACGATAATAAACAGTTTGACCTTTGAGAAAAATTAATATGCAGGTGGACTTTAAATAAATATCCTTTCATTTGGACATTTGAATTTTGAAATTATAAAATTTGAATTTTGAAATTATAAAATTTGAATTTTGAAATTTTGACATTTGAATTTTGAAATTTTGACATTTGAATTTTGAAATTTTGAAATTTGAATTTTGAAAATTTGACATTTAAATTTTGAAATTTGAATTTTGAATTAGTTCGGAGATTAAAAACAAATAGCTTGTAAGGATTCAAATAATTTTGCATGTATTGTTATTTTTTGGCAAAAATAAAAACTTCTTTTTGAAAAATTTCCGCGCGTAATTGCTCCTCATTTTTTTCTACAGTTTTTTTAATTATAGACCACTCAAAACTCCAACTGTAAATTGAAAAATTTCCCCCAAAACAAGAAAACTTTTTTTTTGTAAAAAATGGACAATAAAAGCAGGAAAAAACATAATTTTATTTTTTTAAGGAAAGTGTTCTCCCCTTTTAAATACAAAATCAAATTTGAGAGGAAATATTTTTATGAATGATTTATTGATGTATTTGATAAAGCACTTTAAAAGGAAAAGGACAAAATGTAAATTGTTTGAAAGCTTTTAATCTAATTCTGCTTGAGAACCATGTTAAGGTTTTTGAGATTTGTTTTAAAAAGTAAGTCTTAGTAATTCCTGAAATTAAAATACTTTAAAAAACTCACATTTACAAATTCTTACCAAATGTTTGTGTCAAACTCTGCTTACGTTTTAATCACACATTTTCAAAAATGTTTTCTACTCTTTTGTTTCACAATTTCAATATGCCTAATTTAGTTCACTTTTCCCTTTTTTCTGAAATATAATTTTACCCAGTAATAATTAATAATTAACTTATATTACTTCTCAAAAACTGTGGAATAGAAAGACAACTGTAAGACTCAAGTTATAATTCAAATAGCCTAATGAGCTCATAATTATAAGTGAAACAGGTCTGTGCACATTGCACATTGCACATCGCAATGTTTATGTCAGTTGAACTTTTTACAGACATGTTTTTATCATAAAACGTCGTTTACTATTGATCACAATATCACGTCTTTATCATCATTTAATAATGAGGACTTTTTGAATAATTGTTGACTTTTATAATTCATCTCTGTTAATTAAACAACTGAATAATGTTGATATGTTAGACTGACTGAATGCTAGGTGATACGGTTTTACGCAATGTGTATGTTTGACTGCATGACGCTGTATTCGTTTTAGATGTTACGGTTCAATGAGTTACCGTCTGATGAGCTAGCACATAAATTAAAACTTTTATAAAAAACATCGAAATTTACGATGAAAGAGAAAAATCTAATTTTATTATTCGTTTATGATTATATATGTTAAAACATTGTACATATTCTACTTTATTTTTTTTGGTAAACTATATAAGGACTACAACTTTACAGTACCTTACTTGATTATTCATAAGAAGACGACATATTGACGAAGACGACTGAACAAACAAAGTCGGAGAAATTAAACTATTCTTTTGAAACAATGCATTCCGAACAGTTTGAAATATTATTAAAAAAACTTTATTTATTTCAGAAATGATATGCATGTCCCTTTTTTAAGGAAGCAAGGAATATGCCTTATTTGATTAATGAAAGAAGTGATAAATGGACGACATTTTTTACTTGTCGGCTAAAAATAAATTATTTAAAACCATTTACAAACAATTTGAAATTGTTTTAAATGATTTAAATATCATCTTGGTTCAAAATTAATGTATATATATAATATATTTACAGATATTTGATAAAAAAGTTTCGAAAATGCCGCAGTAAAAGCTGTTGAGTGAGTTTAATAATATCAGCTGTGACAGTATTGTCCTGTAAAAAAGAAAGCCGCTTTGCTCTTGGCTGCGATATATACTGTGTGCGCAGACGCAAATTATCGCTTTCTTGTGATCTTTGTGAAGTTTTCTGTACGCACACAGTAGCATTGGATAGCTTAAACACTGCACAATGCGCTAGTTAGGATATTGCAAACTACTTTTTAGTAATACTCATCATATTTTCAAAATTATGGAAAGTATAACGTTTTGTGTCATCATCTATTTGGTGACATTTGCGCATTGATGTGAGATATTATAAAAGGGGGGCCGGGTCTGGAAAATAAAGGAAATAAATAAAAGGGGTCTGTCCTAGTATACGATTTTTGGACCCCCCCAGCCCACCCCCTCCTATCAATTTTGTACATGACCATTTATTTTTCAGCAAATTTATTATTATTTATTTTTTTGTTATTTAGGGTTAGGTTAGGTTAAGATACTTTCTGGGCCGAGCGCTGCGGCTAGGATGGGCTAGGGGGCCGAGCGCTGCGGCCAC